GAGAGTAAGCCACTCACGCTCAGCGGCGAGGACTACGTCCTGGAATCGAGCATGGCAAGCGAAAGTCACCCGTGTTCTAGCCTGGACCTTCCTATGAATGCTCAACACCCGCACGTAGTCTAGTGTACACGCTGCGCCGACAAATGGAAGCAGCGTCGTCCCCAGACAGGCACGATATCACGCTACCATTAGGGAAGATACCCCGACAGCGAGCGTGGCGCCCATCAGGGGTCCAATCCAGAAAATCCACATGTCCATGAAGGGGCTCTTGTCCCTGCCAGCCGGCATGCTCACCGCCGCGACGAGGGCGGGGCCGACCGACCTCGTGGGGTTGATCGAGCAGCCGTCAACCGGCAGGAGCACGGAGTGAGCAAGAGACACTGCGAGCCCAATAGCCAGTGGCGCGAAAGGTCGCCACGCCTCCGACAGCGGATTCACCTCGGTCTCCATGACCACGTACATCAGGACGAAGGTGCCGACGATCTCACCCAGCAGCGCGCTGACCGCGGAGAAGCCCGACTTGACGAAGTTGCTCCCGAGACTCCCAGTCTGGTCCTTGCCTGTATCGGAACACGTCGCCCTCAACACAAGGGCACCTGTGACCGACCCCCCCAGCTGAGCCGCGAAGTACAAGGCGCCCTGGATTGGGCACAATTTCCTAGCCAGAACGAGCCCGAAAGTAACGGCGCAGTTGAACTGGCCGCCGGTGTAGTGGCCGATCGTGCACTCCAGCACGGTAACGGCAAGCCCGAAGGTCAGGGCCACCTGGAGGACCCACGCCGGGCCATCCTTGGTCGCGGCCCCGCAAGCGCTGCCACAGCCCACGATGACGAGCAACATCGTGGCAATGAACTCCGCCGCGATCTCCGATGGTAAGAGGCCGTCCATGTTCACTGGCAACCTGTCCTTTTTGGAATTGCCGCGCTTGGTGGTTGCCCAACCCACCAAACAGGCAAAGGTTGAACGGTTCTCGTCTGTCCGCCGGTACCATTGGGGTCCCCAAGAGTGTAAGACTTCCCCCTCCTTGTGGGTCCCCTCCCCGCAAAGCCCGAAATTCCACGTTTGCTGTTTGGGCTCATCCTGGAGGGGGAGGCCCGGGCTCGTTCTGGGACGGCTGGGTCCCCCGAGTATAGGCCCAGGACCCCTCCCCCAGGGTGCAACTCCTGGAGGATCTTCGTGGGAACGACTGGGAAGCATTAGGCCCCATGCGAAGGATACCATGCCATAGTAGACCAATAAACATGCCATATTCGTGATTCGGCCAGATTGCGCCAGATGCTGGAAAAGGATATACCTGGGCCGATGCTAATAAATCCAGCCTCCCAAGACTTGCAACCTACCAAGAAGCCGGAAGCCCTCATGGCTACATTCACAAGTAGAGCATCCGAAAACCACACGCTGGACACACATCTGGAACCCCAGCCCAATTGGCCATAGAAAGGCCCAACTCTCGCCCAGCCCAGCCGCGTCATGCGTATCCAACTTCCTGGCGACAAAAAGCCTCCAAGAGGCCGTCAGGTGGCAAACTCCGAAAACCTTGAACCCAAAAGTGTCGACCTCTCAGTTTGAGGGGTAACGTCAGGAGGGGACCGGCTAAGGGAGGGAGCATCGACTAGGAATCTACACTGCATCGCTGATACGAAAGCGATAGGCACCCGATAGCAAATCCGCGCGGTGTTGGGCGGCGTGGGCTATGAGTGCGACGCGGGGATTTATCATATCCGCAGCCTGGGAAGCGACGTCCTGGTGGCCCAGCGGGCGGTGGATATGGATAAGTTTTGGCCCCCAGGGGCCCGAATATATCCATACTCCAATTCCCTTATTCGTCGTCCCCCGGGTTCGGTTTTTCAAGGCGCCTTTCTTGTATCTGGGGGGTCCGGTTCATAAAGGCGCTTGCTTTGGATTGGAACTTAGGTGGCCCGGTTTATTGATGCGCCCCGTCGAAAAGGGGGTCGGGAATATTAAGTCGCATTTGGAGTGGGGCCTGGCTTTTAAGGGGGGCCGATTGATAAGGGATTTGGAATACCAGCGATCAGAGACCGACTGGGGGTCGATGCATCCCGCCCTGGGCTAACCCGTTTCGTTACCACCTGGTTTTCGAGTCATACCTCGGCCCTCTGGCGGCCGTTCGGGACGATCTGGGCACCCCCGGAACGCTCTCAGCGAGGCGCAGCTGCTGGACAGCGCCCCGAGGCTGGAAAACTGCCGAGAACCAGCGAGAATGCACAAACGCTTCAAAATCGCAAACCGTCGACGCATCCCCCCTGAGCCGATCAAGAGGAACAGAAGGTGCAGTAAGAGGTTCGCTGCTACATTCGGTGGGGAAAGATTTCTGCTACCACGTGCCACTCGTGTTGGCGATGCTCACAGACGCACAGAAAGCCCAGGCGAAGTAAGGCGAGCGAGAGGGGAAAAAGAGCGGGCGGAAGCTGAAGAGAGACTACGGAGTCCAAACGTCCCTCCAGTTTGAACGGGCTCGTTCAGACCAGATACATCAAGTCATTTCGCGCACAACCTTCCCGTGCACGCGCTGCCTGATTAGCTGCTACATTAGGTGGGAAACGCTTTTGCTACCACGTGTCACTCGTTTTGGCTAAGCTCACGGACGCACAGAAAGCCCAACATCCCAAAGGGTTCACTGGAATGGTGAGGAGGCCCAACAAAGCTGTGCCGTTTCTAAGTCCCTGTGGCGGCTGAACAGACAATGTACCATGTAATCTGCTACTTTCGGCGGGCACGAGGCTGCGAGAAATGTCCGCGTGGCCCCACACGGGGCCAAGCCCTCGAGGACGACGCGCGGTTTTCCCGAGGCCGAGCAACTCCCTTCAGAATTGCGACGGCGCCTCTCGAGCTTAAGGGTACCTTAGGGGTCGACACCGAAAAACAACAGCTTGGTGCACTTCCTCCAACGGATTCCGAACTGGCACTGATCACAGACACGGACATGCATATTGCCTATAGTCATCAAGTGTTTCAGCTGTGGCGTGTGCCAAATTCTACTGTTGATAGGATGCTCGAGCACAAGGGGAACCCTGGCGCAAGCAACATTCTCATGCACCTTTGGGCTGCCAGAAAAATTGCACTACCTGCTGCGATCCTACCCCGCGCGTATTCGGTGGCATCTGGGACTCCCCAAATGGCGTTGGGCCGAACGCCCAGACTGCCCCCCTCGGTCGGCAGCCGTGCTCCACGACGCGCCGGGGGGGCCAACCGCAGCAGCTATACATTCTTTTTCGGGCGACAGCGGCCCGAACTCGAACGACAAAAACTGGGCGAGTGAGGTCTTCGCCCACCCTTTCCTCAACGCGGCGTGTCCTATGGAGTCAGCGCTTGAGAAGAGAGATCACGCATATTTTCGGCAGCGGCTCGCCCGCCTTACAGGACAGTGCCCTCGGCGCCTCTTTCGAGCCACCTTCCCCCCATCAGAAAGCGTGGGGCGTTGGCGTGAGTTCGCATGTGGCCCTTTTGGGCCTGCTTGGCGTTCTCGGACGGCTGCTCGAAGGCGTCGCGGTACCACCTCGACGCCGCCCCCGTCGATCCTCGAGACCTGGTGGGAATTGCCACAAGTGCCCCCTGCCCAGGGCGACTCCAGGATTCGCCCCATACCGGAGCGAAGCGCTGGAAGCACCCCGGGGGGGGGGGGGGGGGGGCATTGCAGCAACCGCCGACCTTGAGGTGCGCGTAGTGCGCGGGCGCCTCGGAGTGCACGCAGACCAGGACGTGCTGGGCCTCGTCGACCCTCTCGGCCCAGCGCTTCTGCGCCTCGGGCTGCTGGGCGGCGGGTGCGTCCTCGCCCTGGCCCTCTCGAGCCCAGGCGGCGGCCGCCGTGGGCTCGACCGCCAGAACGTTGTCGGGGACGCCCACGCGCTCCTCAATCTCGCCCAGCAGCGCGCGCACCGTGCCCAGCTCGAGGGCGTCGCAGCTGACGATCTGCTCGCAGTTCATGATCACGGACTCCTTGGCGAGCGCGGTGCGGCGAGCGTGTCTTATCTGGCGCCATCGAGCATCTGCGGCCTGGGGAACTTGTAGTCCTGCTCGATCGTGACCTGTGGCGCTTGGGATTCGCAGGCGCTCGTTAGCTTCCGCCTGCTTCCGCTTCGCGTTGCTTCCGCCTGCTTCCGCTTCCCCTTTCCTGCCCGCCAACTTCCGCCTGCTTCCGCCGCCCCAGGCAGAAGCAGGCGCAAGCTAACGAGCGCCCGTGACCCTCCCGGCCTCGCTGCTGTCGATCTGGAAGATCGCCGCGGTCTCCACCTCGAAGACGCGCAGGCGGTGCCCGTCCTCGGTGCCCAGGACTCGCCAGACGTCCTGCACTCTGCCGCGCCCGCCCTCGCAGTTGCCCTCCTCGGTGACGCGCGCCGCCTTGCCGTGCCACGGGGGCTCCTCGCAAGCCTCGAGGCCGCCTTTCTGCTTGGCCTTGCCCTGCATCTTGGCGTCCTTCTCCGCTTGCTTCTTCCGCTTGAACTTCTTGCAGAAGCTCGCGCGCGCCTTCGGCGGCCGGCCTGTGAGCTTCGCCTTGGCCGCGCCTCTGCTGAGGTGCTCGAGCGAGGTCTCGCCGCCAGCCCTGTCCTTCTCGCGCTGCCACTTGCGAGCGTGCTTGCCCAAGAACTGGCCCGTGAACTTGGACGCCCACCTGTTCTTGCGTTTAGCTGTCCGCTTCAGCTTGGCCCTGTTCTCGAGGGCGCGCGGGAGCTGGATGTCCTTGATCCGCTCCTCCGGCGGTTTGAGCATTTCCTTCTGCTCGTTGGTGAGCTCGAGGTCCAGCGTTCGGAGCTCCAGGAGGCAGGGGTCCTCCCCCTGCTCGCAGTCCCTCGGCAGGTCGCCGTTGTGGAAGCAATCGCCGTCGAGGACGCTCCACTCGGGCACGGGCGGCACGCCCTCGGGCCAGCCTCGGATGCTCTCGAGGCGCTCTTCCGCCAGGCTGTTCTCGATGCTGCGGCCAGGCTCGGTGGAGTACCTCCACGGCTCCATGCCCGCGACGACCTTGAGCTCGCCTTGCTCTGTCGGCCGTCATGAGCATCTGGTTGGCTTGCGCCCCTCGGAGCGGCACCGCGCCCTTTTTCTGCTCTCGGAAGCGGGCGTGGGCCACGGAGACGCAGTAGTAGAGGCACTCGTAGGGTCCCGATTGCGTCGGGGACTTGCACCCCTTCTGGGGCTCGGACGCGGCCTTCTGGATCCAGTCCTGCTCCATGGCCCAATGCGTTTCGGCCTTGACCTCTCGGATATTGGCCTTGAGCCGGCTGTGCTCGCGGGCGTCGGACTCCTACAAGAAGCTCGTGACGTCAGGGGCCATGGGCGCGTAGATGACATTCTTGAGCCACGCTCGCAGCGCCACTGCCTCGGTCCACTGGCTCGAGAGGCAGCCTGCGAACACGAGGCTCTGGCCGTGCTCCTGCTCGATGAAGTCGATGGTCCAGCTTGCCTCCAGCTCGCCCGCCCAAGCTCTCGGCTGCCCCCGCGCGTCGATGGCCTCGGAGACCCTCGCGCGTTCCGCCTCGGAGGACTCGGGCAGAGCGTTGAGCCAGCCCTTGAGCAATGCCCCTCGGGGCTCGCCTGCTCGGGAGCGCTCCGTCTCGCCATCGCTCCGCCCGTAGGTGACGTCGCGCCGCTAGGCGCCCTCCTCGAGGTTCACGTCGCTGACTCGGCACCGCATTGCGCAGGGGACAAGGGGCGCGCTGCTCCTCTTGGCGGACTTCGGCCCCCTGCTCCGGTCAAACCAGTTCTCGACCGCGGAGATATTGATGAGGGTGGTTGTCTCCTGCGATCAAGTAGGCCTGCGCCACTTGCCCCTTGTGGTCGGGGTGGTCTGCCGAGTACTTGGCCTTCTCCGCCTCGAAGGCTGCCTTGTCCTGCTCGTTGCGCGTCTCGCGGAACTTCTTGCGGAGGCTCTCGATGCGCTTCATGTCGCC